GGATGGGGAGGGGGGGGAGGTTAAATGTATGTCTATTTATAGTTAGTCAAAACAACAAACCCATATTGAGTGGCTAATAACTTATAAGCCAAACATTAAATATTTACAAAAAAACTGCTACACAAGACAGGAAAATGTGTTTACACATTGACTCACTCAAAATTGTGTCCCCAGCACTAACATGGAACTTGTCATGAGCACAAATTGTGTTTGTTAGTTCCTTGTATACATGGGGATGGAGGTATGCATGGGGTGTGTTGCGATGTTTACTTGAAATGGATCTTTGTATGCACCCACCTTGAATAAAGTCTAGACCTTCATCAACAGATGTATGAGGCGTATTCTAAGAATTAAGTAGCAGGATAGAATAAGAAATGAAGAGCTGTGGGAAAGGACAGGACAAAAGGAATATAGAAGTAGAAATAGGACTAAGAAAGTCGCAATGGATGGGGCACACCTTAAGAAAGCCCAGCGGAAACATCACAAGACAGTCACTGTAGTGGAACCCACAAGGAGCACGAGGCAGGGGTAGGCCACAGGAAACATGGAGGAAATGCGTGGAAAGGGACATGAGAGAGATGAAGCTCACTTAGAACGAGCTTGGAAGGATGGCTCAGGACAGAGATAAATGGAAGGAGCTTGTATGTGGCCTATACCCTGCCAGGGGTGAAAGGCATTGATGATGATGATGATGATGATGATGCAGCCACCCAAGCGATGCCGACAAATGGAGCAAGAATTCACATTTACGTTTTTGTCAAACGCACACCACATGTTCCTACTGGTGTCAACAGCTTTTTTTGCGGCTTGAATGACATGACGTAACACCATATCTCCTTTTGATAGTTGAAATCGCGGTAAAACACTTGAAATGTTAGCAGAATACGCCTGTTCATCTTCGTCCCTCACATCTATCCCATAAATCAAGAGAATATCTCCTGCCATTGTCTTACATAATCGCGGCTTTCTGTACTTTTTTTTGTGTTTGACAGTTAAATTTGAACGCCAACACACCCGACAAAGTTCATTCGAAGACCTTCTATGGCTCTCATATGTGTGACCCATTGCAGTTTAATAATTTTTATGTAGGAACACAATTCACTAACTGATTGCTAGTCAATACAAAGTGCTGGAAAAACAAAATTCACATCATTAGAAAATACGATTTGATGGCTATCACACCGGGCAAACAGAAATGAACACCAATGTTTCATTTTGGAACGATTTGTAATTAAATTTAAGAGATCACATTATCAATGGCACTTTCGATCACTTTAAAACACTCACAATTTAAAACTGTTATTTTTCCCAAACGAATCAATGAAAACTGGTGAAACTTTCACAAGATACCAAGAAGACGTAGACGAAGCGAAATTGGCGAAGAAATAGGTTCTAGGGGTAGAGTTAGCATCATTCTCCGGCTCATGAAATTAGGGGAAGAAACGCGTTCTGATATTAGGACAAGACAGGATAGTGCTGTGCACAGAACGAGTTGACCCCAGTCAATCCCCGACCTGACGCTGAAATTGCAGGTCACCTGCCGGTGATTTATGGCCTATTGCTGGGGGCCTGGACAAACTAAAAGATCGTTGAGATGAAATTTTGGACGCCGTGAAGGATGCGATGACATCACATTAGTAAAATTAGACGCCAATCAGGCAGGTGCGTCCACAGACCGTAAATACAGAGATGGTGCAGTCCTTCTTTGGCCTTAGTGCATTGTCGTAGAATCGAGGTCAGTGACAGGGCGTGTTGCTCTGTTCTGTGGTGACTAGTTGGCCCCATTTTAGTATTTTATATAAATTCATGAACATATGTTTTAAAATCTAGCCTCAATTGTTGTGGAAAAATATGAATACATAAAGATAAATTGATACATACTGCTGTGCAAAGTTTAGGTTACATTGATTTACCCGTTAAAGAGAAGTTTGAGGACAAGTTGCGCCACAAATTTTTTACTGCAAGTAAAGATCATTGTGCAGTCCAACGTTTAAAACAAATACACTGAATCACAGTCCACTGTGTTGCATTTGCAGGAACCACCCTTACTTTCAATTACCTTTTGCTCCTGGAGCATTTTCAACTTTAGATTCTGTCTGTGTGCTCTGTTCATCAAAAGTTTGTAATGCTTAAAAAAAAAACCCAGCTTCAAACAAACCAACAAATTCAACAAGTTTATAACTGTGCTTTTTCAAGCCACTGTGACGACAATGTTCAAACTGTTTCTGGTTGATGAGGGTCAGGTGCCTTGCATGGGAAGATGAGAAATCTTCCAATATCCCTGTACAGTCCTTGCAGACTACATTGTAAAGTTTCTTCAAAGTGTATCCACTTTCGTCAGAAATTGCATTTTTAAGTGCATTGCATCTATATATATTGCAAAATTTAACAAAATTAACAATGTGTCTGTGTTCTTTATCAAGGTCTAAGAGGAATTGCAACTATTGTTTGACTGAAATTCTTACTCGTTAGACTTATCAAAAAGCTATCCACTACATCCTTGCAACTGCTTGAAGGCCATGCGATCATAATTTTGTCGACCATTATCTCTGTCTCTTCAAATGAAAATGAAATTTTTGGGGGAGGGGGGGGCTGGATTGTCAAGATATGTCCACCTTTTCCTCTGGTGACTGAGAAGAGATTTTCAAGTACATCTTGATATCAATCTAAGTAATCCCCCATTGCAGCTCTCACAATGTCTGCCACAAGACCTTGCAAAGCCGTGATGTTGTGGATCCACTCACTGGCTCATATTAATGCTTTTGCAACTTTCTTTTTGTTTTCTGGGCCAAACTTCATGAATTATCTTTCAACCACAAAAGTGTCTGCTGCAAAAATTCATGGTGCTGTGATGTAGTTGTGATTGGGTTTCGATATTACAAAGAGAATGACACTGACCAATTGAAAACGTTGAAAAGATCATCAAAGTCATTACAGAAATCAGATATTATATCGATGTCAGACAAAGGATCAACTTTGAGATACATATAGTGTCCCAATTGCTTTTTATGCACTGCGACTAAGCACGTGCATAGTCAAACAGACCCTTTGTCGTCCAAACCTTGACACAGTTGGTTAACTCCCTTGGGTGCCACCCTGAATAAACATACAGGCACTGTCTTTTTCATAGAAATGTTCAATAACTGCCCAGCTCGCACTATCATCATGATGAGTAGGCCCACAGAAATTGTGGTAGATCAACAAATTGTTTCTAATTCTTAATTAAGTGTGGAGGATCAAAGACTACTGCTTTTATCACCCTCATGATGAAAAAAAAAAAGGCTTTTCGGGGGTGAAACTTAGTTTAAAGTGTTAACTAACACCATCTGGTTGTTTGGGCCTTGGTCACACGCAAGCCTTCACCTTCAAACCAACGTAATAAAGCCTTTGGCCTCTCTAACAATGGAACAATGAGCTGCACTACCTGCACCAGGTACGTGCTAATAAGGAAGCAGGTCAGTGGTTGACCGTAGGTTGACGCGCAGACACCCACCCCCCCCCGAGAGTTTTGTGAGCACGCACGATTTCGCCCCATTGCATTATCATGGTATATTTATAGTCATTCGGTGCGTCATTTTACATTTAGTCGAAGTCGAATGTGTCTCGTCACCACTCCGATACGGAGGCTATCATTGTCGAGGAAACAACCGACGGAAGAAGAAAGGAGTGCGAGAAGGGAGTGCGTGGGCGTGAAGTCAGGCGCAGCTGTATATAATATATATTATATAAATTGTATGGTTGGCCGGAGGAGTTTTAAGACAAGCCAGGCGGTGCTGTTTTGGGGAGGACTTCCGTAACAAACGACCACTATGAGACAGAGCAGAATTGAGGGCTTGGGGTAGGGGAAGGGGTAGGGGTAAGGGTAGGGTTAGGGTTAGGGTTAGGGGGTAGGGTTAGGGGTAGGGTTAAGTCTAGGCCTCTTCTTTATTGTGTTTGATGGGGTGGTTGCTCGTTACGGAAGTCCTTCCCTGTTTTGTTCTGGTAGGCCTTACGTTTCGTTTTATGATTTACGACACTTGCAACACAACAATGTAAGGCAAGATCTGACAATCCTGTGTATAAATTTAGCCTTGGTCCAAGCCTTGGTGGGAGTAAGTTTTAGTTAGGAAAGTGGCTATTCTCACCCGCCCGGAAGTTCTCGCAAGATCTACTCCTCCCCTCTTCTCTCTCTCTCTTTCTGAATACTGTCTATCGGTGTGGACGATCAAA